GTAGTAGTAGTAGTGGTAGCAGAAGTAGCACAAGGCGCTGGCACCATGATCCGCAAGCTAATGCAAAACGACGGGTCGTCTTGGTCATTCTATTCTGGTTCGGTCCGACATGGCCAAAACGACCGGTCGTTTTGCCCACCCACAAAACGACCAAAAACACCACTAGGACCGGCCGTGTTGCCCCTAAACAGGCAAAACGACCATCGTCTTGCCGCCCGCCACACGACCAAATCGAATAGCGGTTCTGTTTTGCCGCTGCAATGTAGTAGTATTAGTAGTAGCAGTAGTAGTCGTCGTCGTAGTAGTCGTAGTGGTAGTAGTAGCAGTAGTAGTATATAGTAGCAGTAGGAGGAGGAGTTGCAGTGGTAGCAGGAGCAGCGGCAGTAGCAGGAGGAGGTGCAGCAAGAGGAGTAGCAGGTGGAACAGCTGCAACTGCTGCATCAGTAGTTGGAGCACTAGTCGGAACTGTTGGAAAACACTCACTTGTTGAAAGTCTTCTTCTCCAGGAGTTGGTTCGCAAAAGTAGGGCTTAAGAGCCAAAATTGAAACCAGCGATGCCATGCCTGAAGCTCTTAAGACTATGCAATCGCACAAGCACCTGCCATCCAAAGCCTGAACATCGGACCGGCAGTCCAAGAGTCGTAGATGGCCGGGTCATTTGCGAACTTTCGTTTCACTTCGACCTCGGGTCTCTGAGCTCACATGCCGGGCTCCCCCAACTCAGGCGTGATCGCCCCGCTGGCTCCCAGCATGAGCCTTGACAACATGAAGTACACTCGACTGTCCAACGATGAAAGGATGCGACATCTCCGTCTGCAAATCGTCCGACCAATCTGAGCGGCATCCCGCCACCATGTCGCAGTGTCGTGGACTGACTCCTTCATACAAAGGGCAAGACGGCAAGAATGAATCAAGTGTCTGAGCCACGCATCGCAGGCTTGGTAATGGCTAGTAGCAGCCTGAAGCTGGGAGTTGCATACATGCATCCAAACGCTTTTAATCCTGCTTCCTAGAACCTCAACTGTTGCCTAGGTGAGGGATGAAACCGTGCTTTTGCCAAGGATCTACTCATGTCAGCGGACGTCCAAGTTTCGGTAGCTTCTCATGACATAGCTGGGTGGAACAGAAGCGTCAAGACAAGTACCAGCATGTGCCGCCACCGAGCCCAAATAACATGTAATGTGCAAGGACTTCAGACCTTGCCCGGGAAGCAACCATAATGATGCGGGTTTTGTCCTCCCCGAGGGTTATTGCCATCGGCCACATCCACGTATAGCTGTGGATCTGCTAATGAACTCATAGCAGTGTTCAGCGTGTATGTGCGCAACGACTTTGCTCCTTCCCTCAACCTGCTTAGACAATAGCGAAGGAGCTAGACAAGCAAGCACGCGCCGACAGACATGCAACTACTTGCAGCAAACAAAACGTCGATGCAAGCCTTCGCGTGCTCCAGTTCCAGACATCCAAAAGTGAGCTGAAAGCATCAAACCCTAAACTAAACACCCTTAAGCCTCAAGAAAAAAACGAGCTTCGAGACCCGTCCTCTGTCATGGAGGCGCCATTTGTTGCACCGACTCCGCGCTCATTACGGCCCATCTCCTGAACAGCTGTTTTTTGTTGGTTTCCGATGGGATGCAGGATCTAGGATCTATAGAGACTGTGGGACGGATTATCGGATGTTGGCTGTAGGATAGTGGGCCTAGGCTAGGACATGTAGAGTGTTGGTTCTGCTTTAGAGCTCAGGATTACAGGGTGGGGAAGACTTTTGGATTTCACCCTTCGGCTTCGTGTGGAGTCCATACCCCTGAAACTGCCCTGGAATTTGAGGTCGAGGGCTTTCCCAGATTTCCTAGGCTTCGGCACCTCGGATTATGCAGGCGAGGCATGTTTGCAGAGGTCTTTCGAGCACCGGAGCAGACCAATCTTAAGTTGAAGGGTGCAGTATGCGTGGCTGTTCGGAAACCTGAGACTGCAACATGGGGTGTTTACCTTGGGGCAGACAGGCTGGATTTCCTTGATTTACCAGGTGTTGCTCTCTCGGTGTAAAATTCAGACTGGAAGGAACTACAAGAAACCCAGCCCCGGACCATGAAACGCAACCTAGACTGCTACACTATGAACCCCAGCGCTGAAGCCCTAACTCCCAAGCCTGAACCCCAAAATCCCGAAACACACTCATTGTTCTTGTCATTTCTTCTCTCTCCCTGCCCTCCCCCTCTTTCTCTGCCTATGCGAACGTTGAAGGTTGAGACACCATAAAAAACCATCTATGCCCTCCCTGGCCCGCTCCTTGGTGAGGTACTCGTGCACTCCATACGGCCTTGGAATTTCCTTGGGCTCCTTCTGCCACCACTTGGCGACGAATTTCCTCAGCTCCGGACAAAGGAACTAACCCTCTCTCTCTCTCTCTCGCTCTTCCTTGCGTCCTTCCTTCCTTTTTCATGTATATGTACAGCTGTTTAGTGTGTATATGTAATACAAAAACAAGAGCGAACAAGATAGACGGACAAACAGAGAGAGAGAGAGAGAGAGACAGGGAGAGAGCGAGAAAGAGAGATGTTTCCTTTGCTGACTTTCACATAGATATGACAATATGTATATATAAATATACCATTATTTGTATACTTGTACATTTATTACTATGTAAGTGTTACTGCGTGCTTGTCTACACGATCTTACTTCTCAATGGAGAGTACCACCTGCATGAATGAAAGTCTGCCTGTTTGGCTGGCTGGCTGTCTGTCTAAATCTCTGTATGTTTGTACATGACAAACAATCAATCCACCAGTGATTTCCGCAAGTCAGAGTTCGATGAAAGAGCCCTTAGTCCCATCCGAAGGTCACCGATCGGCCCAGGGCCTTTGCAATCGCAGTCTTCTCAAGGCCTCCGACCCAAGTCTTCGGCTCAGGGATTCAGGGGGGAGGGGTGAGCCATCTGGCATTGCTGTGTAGAAATTATGACAACACACTTGTGATCAGATTCTTAAGTAAGCGTGACGAAGACTGCTCTGATGGTTTGCTGTCCGAGATTGACCAGCGAAATGAAGGCGTCGGTCCAAGAGGCGTTGGTCCAAGAGGCGTTAGACTTTTCGTCATGGATTCCCTATTCCTCGCAGTGGATGCCTATTCCTCGCAGTGGATGCCTGGTGAACCGGTGAACCATGTAAGCTCTGACACAGGTCACGCATCGACTCACAAGGCCACTGCGTGGATATGATTATATACTCCTGGTACATCCTGGGACGTTGTGGTTAGACACCCGCGACTCATAACCGCGATGGACACAACATGTCGTCCCCGAAGCCTCGAAGAAGCAGGTTGTTCCGGCACGAAGAACGAAAGCACATGAGTGCCATAAATTATGAGTCATACGAACTCAAACACAATTTTTCTCTGGGCACGGGGGCCGTTTTGCACTATTTGCCCCGCGATCCTCACCTGCCTTCTTTGCGGAGGTGGATCGCACGGAGTCGATCCTGATACCTGGGACTCATGATTGAAGCCTCTTCAGCCCGGCAAGGGGAGCTGGGCTCAAGTTGCAGCACTACACGATACCTGCACAGCTACACCTACATTAATCTACATTTACATGTACATGCATAGCACTACATTACGTAGATGCAGACATACATGCCTGCCCACCTGCCTACCTAGCTAGAAGATTGGGAAAGTACATACAGACACATGGAAAAAGGGACATCGTACATCGACTGCTTCCAGACTGTTCAAAGTGGCTTTGCACCTGCTTTCACCTCTGCCGCCTTGACTTGTGTACCACAAACTAGACGGAAGAAAACAGCACAGCAATGGCAATGACCACAAACAAAGGCCTGCAGCCATTGGGCTGTCAGAGGCCTCGCGACGAAGAATATTTCTGAGACTACAAGGGCTACGGCTACCTGCTACCATGTAATTCCGCCTTGAAACCACAGACCACGACTCGCCTCTGTCCTACCAAAACCCGAGGCCTCTCGACAGCCATGGGCGTAACGTAGGCTTACCAAAGCCTGGACACCGGGCACAACACACAAAAGGTCCCTGAAACATAAAGGCAACCTAAAGACAAAACATACGATTCATAATCATATACATCTGTGTATGTATATATGTGCTTACGTACATACATACATACATACATACATACATACATACATACATACATATATATATATACATACACATACCTACATACATACATACATACATGCATGGCATATACAGACAGATATATGTATATATATATATGTGTGTGTGTGTGTCGAGTCTAGCTACCTATCTATGGGACGCTGAGTCTTGTAAGGCCGGCCACTCTTTGTTGCCCTGAGAGGAGTTTTGCGCGAAGAGGCCTTCGGCCTGGAAGTGGGACTCATCGAACTCGGTAACCTTCCGACTTTCTTGGGATGTAGGGTGTGGCTTAGGGTTTAGAAGTTCCACAGTTTCGGGGGTCAACTTGACTTCAAGGATTCGCTGGGTTTGCTGGTGTCGGCTTTTAGCTTTCGAGCTCGTCCTAAATGGGGTCAGTTTCTTGAGGATGTTCAAGCTCCTGTTCAATTCCTCTCGTTTCCTCTTCCTGGTTCGGGGCTTGAGTTTCTGCAGATTAGCATCCAACACGTACTTAGCCTTTTCAGTCTTGATAGAGGACAGTTGGACATTCCAGAGACAGAGCAGCACACATGTCTATCGAAAGCGATTGCCAATGTCCAGGAAAGCTTGCTACCACCTCAGGCATCGCGAAGCGTGGGACAACAAATGCCTCGTGTATGAAGCCTTCCTCAAAAAGAATACTGTACTCGCTTACGGACGAGATGCTACAATGAAATCCTGTCCTTGGTGGATGGCCACCGGCTTCTGCTCTGGTGTCAAAACAAACCAGGAGACAAGTGGACTATCCAAAACCAAAAATAAGCAAATACACATTGTTATGTAAATATGTATATATGTGTGTACGTATGTATGCATGTATGTGCGTAAGTATGTATGTATGTATGTATGTATGTATGTATGTATGTACTTATATATATATATGTACGTATGTACGTATGTATGTATGTATGTATGTATGTATGTATGTATGTAGTTATTTACTATTACAATACGACACACTACACTGCACGAGACGACGCTACACTGCCCTGCACTCCACTACAACATGATACATACAATGCAATGCAATGCGATACGACACAATACAATGCACGATGCATGCGTAATTACATACATACATACATACATACATACATACATACAGACATACATACATACATGCATGCATAATTACATACATACATACATACATGCATGCATACATACATATTTACTTACTTACTTACTTACTTACTTAATTACTTACTTACGTACGTACAGACATACATACATACATACATACATACATGCTTACTTACATACATACCTAAATCAATTACAAAACCAGGCTGTCGGCCAACCTCCTCCTTGCCATGGAACTGCATCCATCGGTACCTCTTTCACCGCAACTCTGGTCATCTCTCTACCCTGGAATCAGTAGCCCAGTTACACGACAAGTAGCGGAAAGAGCATGAAATCGTCTTTCCTCCCTCGCAAAGAATCGCCGGTATCCTTCCAAAGCATGGCTCTCAGAGCAGCCAAGACACGTCCGAAGGACTTTGCGCTCTGGGTCCTGGACCCCTTGCCTGATGGACGCGAGGTTGGCCAGTACAAAGGGGGAGGGAGGGAACGATCTTAAAAGGTTTTTTGGAGCATGTCAGATCATGACTTTGGACGATGAACAAGTTTCCAAGCTTCCTGCGCCGGACGCCGAATGCTTCGTCCAGGCGTTGCAACGGCATTGCTCTGCTGTTGAGTTGCGGACGACTACTATCCGAGTGGCTGCGTGATTTGACACGACGATCCTGGTCGAGTGAGCAGTCCCAGAGCTATCAAGCAGGTGTGAGCACACGGTATTCCTCTGCTGTTCGCATGCTGCTGCGGGCAGACGGATCCTACGAGCTCTCGTGCCTGGAGTATGTAAGGGTGTCGAGTATATAAGGGTGCCGGTGTAGAAGAGCTTGGCTGAAGGTGGCCGCACACGCGGCCAGACCGGTGACATTATGAAATTATGACCATGTTTAAAGCTGAAAGCTGCGGAAGCCAAGACGAGTAGATGAGGTGAATCTGCAACCAAGAGCAAACGGCTGAACGCTTGAACAGACTTATCGAAGGCTGGCATGCACTGTAGTGGCCCTTCTTGCTGTCATGTTGGCATTTCGTAAACTCCTTCAGCCGCCTTCTGACCCTCAGATCGCGAGACTATGTCCGAAGAATTATACGACGGTGGTACCATACAGATGCAGACTGGGAGTCTACATCGCCACCATTGTCCAAAGTCTAACGTCCCGTGGAGAATGCAGCGCGGCGACTTTACTCTTCCTTTTGTCATGGGGCTTTAATATTTTAGGGCTGTTTCAAAAGGGTTTAGGGTTTAGGGTTTAGAATACTGTTTGTTTCAATAGGGCAGCTTGCCAACCTCGGCCAAAGCCTGGTGGCGGTCCAGGCAGAATCCTGCCAGACCTGAATCAGGGGCCTGTATGCTTTGAACAGGGGCTTCGGGGCAAACTATCCCATAAGTATAATAAGGTACCGACTTCATATTAAGTCCCCCGCCCCATCTTTCCGAGAGTTTAGGGCGACTGTTTAGGGTAGGACGGCTAGGGATTCAGCTTGACCGGATTGTCGGCGCATACTCACCTTCTACGAAAGTGAATGGGAGGACATAGGGGAATACTACCTTATCATTACTTCTAATTTTTCAAGCCCCTAAATGAAGGGATGTACCACGGTCAGGCCTCCCTCTGATTTAATCCCTCCAAACTTCCACACTCCAAGAGATGCAGTACACAGGAGCAGCTTTAGCATCCCGCGTTCTGAATGGTAAGGCTTGACGAGATGGTTGGTAGCATCTTGGATGCTTCGCTCTTGGAGCTTTCAATTCCTGACGGGGTCCCGCTGAGGCTGCAACGGATGGACAATCTCCAGGTTGCAGCCTGAAGAAGCCAGCGACTCAGAGCAGAGCTTGCGCTATAGGCCCTGAAGGGGGACAGGGACAAGATATCCCAGGGGCCAACGAGCGTCTCCAAGTTAGGGCTGAAAGAAGAAAACGCAAAGGATGGTCATTGCTGGCATGAAGAAGTAGGGACGCACCAGTCGCAGATCAAATGATCCACAAAGCAGAGGTCACAGGTGGGCCCTTTGAGGATTGCAGGGTACCCTAAGTAGGGGTTGCTAATGACCCATCGGTAGAATTCCGGGGCACTCAATCTTAATGTCAAAGAAGCACCAGCGTATGGCAGATTCTTTAGTGCAGTGATGCGCTGCAGAAGTGCCTGTGCTCGCAGCAGTCTCACAGCCAGGATCGACATGCCCTTGTATAAATACAAAGCGCGTGGCTTGGCAGGAAGGGCTCACTTCGAAGCCCCGTGAGGACCCACATTGTGCTGAATCCAAAAACTGGACGGATTGAATGGATTCGGCTGAGCATGACCGGGGGCGGCCTCCTGCATCTGGCCTCTCTTGCCACTGTCTGCGAGTACACGGTAGGGCCGAAGGGCCTAGGCCCTGAAATTAGACCTTACCGATGGACTCCGAGCTGTGATTCTTGGCTCATATTATATATATATATTATATTATATCTTATATTTTGTATATTACATAATATTTGCGAAGGCGTGAGAGGGAAAGGCGGGTCCCGGCCTGAATTGAGTGTCCCAAGCTCCGGCACGGGAGTAGGCCGGTCATCTACTCTTTTGTGCTCCGGGAACTTAGGGGCCTCCTTTGAAAACTTACAGATCTTGCTGGCTTAGGGCTTTTGGGGTTCAGGGTTGCGGGCAGCACACCACCAATGCCGAAGCTGGGTAAGGAGTCGTGTCACGAATCCACCGGCGGAATTGAAATCTACTCCGCCCAAAATTCTGTCTGTACAACACCCGAGTTGGATCCAAGAATCTTTCTGCCTGCTACCCGGATCGTGCTGGCTGCCAGCACTAGGTCACTAGGTGCGTGACTAACCTCGCGACGACATCGTCGGCTGTAAACAAACTCGCAGGATGCACTTCCACGATCTATCGATCTTCCTGAGAAAGCACAGAATACAGATCTCTCGCAAGTGCAAGTGCAGCTCTTGATCTTCCCCGGTTGTCTACTTGCAGCCAATGATAAACACGGAGTGCTAGAATTCAATGGATGAGACTGGAAGCATCATCTTGCACAGAACTTCCTGGATCCCAAATCAGGGGTGACGGCCATCGCTCACCCTTGAGGAGAGCTGGAAAGGAAGTCGAACTAGTGGGCTTCCACGGTAAGCCAGAGGTTCTGGGCTACAGGCCGTCAGTAGGCACCATGAGCTCGAAAGCCCAGCTTTGTTTTCTGCTCCCAGTCTACACTGCGTGACATGCAAAGCCCAGAACCTCGAAACCTCTGCCCAAGGTAGCAAAGGTCTGAAAGACGTGAATTGGGAAGGAGCTCGGGCAAGTGATCAAGCACACACTCCGTTCGGCATTCAGCCCGCAACTCCAGGAAAAGGACAGATCCGTGTCAAAAGCCGGCGCCAGGCGAGAGGTGACTGTGTCAAGTCCTCGAAGGGAGGAATGACAGTCAGATGGCCGGTGACAGCCCGGTCCCTACTTATCCTTTGGCAACCGCCGGATTGCCCAGTCTACGTAAACCGCGTTCCCCACACTGCAGCTAAGTGGGGACTACATGCGTGCCACTCTCTAAGTATCATGGGCTTCAGGGGTAAACTATAGGCTATAATTATAATCATGTGCGGAGTGTGTGTGTGTGTATATATATATATGTACATTCTAAGTTGGCAGCATTACTAATCATTTCCCTTCACCCTAGACCCTGAATCGGCCCTCTATTGTAGAAGCAGGTCCTCACCCTTTTCTTCAACATCTGACAGCCGAGCACCTCAGACCAAGGCAGCTCCGTGGGTTGAATACTTGCTTACTTCTCCAATAAGTCAGGGAAATAAACGGTTAAACTTTCAGAGTACTACTACCTGGGCGCCACTGGTCCTGTTATCGTGGACATCGACCGTGGTCATTGCCATTCTGATTCTTATCCTTCACTTGGTAACTTTCTCTACTTGTCCGTGTCGCCTTGGCAGTTGACTGGTAGCTGTGGCAGGAAGGAGCAGCAGCAGCAACAGGAGTAGCAGCAGTTGCAGTACTACCACTGCTGCTACTGCCAGTAATGGTGGTATTTGTGAGGCTCAGACTAAAATAAATACCAATACTACTACGGCTACTACTACTACTACTACTACTACTACACTACTACTACTACTACTACTACTACTACTACTACTACTACTACTGGCAGCAGCAGCAGCAGCAGCAGCAGCAGATCTTCCACACCGGGTACCCAATCTGAGTGCTGACGTGAGGCTGTACAGCACGACACAGTCTGTCACAAACTCTTCCTTCGCACATCTGCCACCTGACGCATCCCGAAACAGCTGCAACAAACAGCGCAACAACCGTCATGTTTGGGAAGTATGGCTTGTTTCCTGGCTGCAATGGCGGATGAAGCCGCTTCCCTTTCAAGCATGCTTGAGCTTAGGGCAATTCTCGCATCATGTGTCCAAGGAGGACGGAGGAGCTTTATAAAACACATGACACCGCATTAATTCTGAGACCGTCAAGCCCTTCAAAGCCTCAAGTCACGAAATTCTCACCCTGTCGGTGCGAATGCGAGGTGTTTGGCCTGGCTGAGCCCATTCGGTTCTGCTGCCGGGAGAACATATCACAAACTCAGCTTTTCAGACCGGCGCACTCCGGAGTGTAAGCGCCTCCGGAAGCAAGCGTAGCTTTAGCCAAGAACCTTCAGGCTCCCTGGCCCCCCTTGCTCTCTTGTTTTTTTGTCTGTCTGATTCATTTCATGGCTCACGTAGTCTGCCTCTCAGATTTGTTGAATGCGAGCGTCTTTTCCACTAACTCCATAATTGATCGCAAGCTGAGCGGAGTGGGGTCAGAAACTCGTTACATCTCTTTACCCTACATGATGACAAGCCGAAGGTTCTGTGGCCACCCTTTTTCCGTTCCGCTGAAGCCAGGTAGGGCGCGAACTGTATCATCAGGCGCAAGCTCAGCAAGATAAGGGAGTACAAGACTGTAAGCCGAATTCCTCTTGAGCTGATTCTGTGGGGCCTGACATTTAGCGATCGTAACAGGTATAACAGTATAACGGCTAAAAAAAGGCTGACAGCTAGAAATGTCTGCAAGGACTCACAGCGACGACAACGACGGATACACCAATTGCACCTGCCTCTTCCGCCACAAAACGTCGGACTGCAAGTCACAAGGGATAAGTAGCCGTAATTAAGGCACGGCAACGAACCTCTGCAACAACAGCGATCAACAAAACGCTACTGCTGCTGCTGCTGAAACTGCTGCTGCTGCTGCTGCTGCTGCTACTACTGCTGCCACTACTACTACGACGATAAGGACGACAACAACAGCAACTGCTGCCACTGCCACAACTATTACTATTACTACTGCTATTACAACATGTCTACCCGAGTCTACTCTTGGAACCCGCATTCAGTGCAAGAGGAGTTCTGCGTGGCACAAGCAACTAGAAAGTCGAAGCTAATTTCGAAGCTACACTTTCCAGCTTGATTGATGGAGCTGAT